TCTGGGATTGGCCAGGAGCCCGGTGCTTCTGGGATTGGCCAGGAGCCAGGTGCTTCGGGGATCAGCCAGGAGCCAGGTGTATCGGACTCCGAAGAGGATACGTCTTGGCTGGATCCACGCCAGCGTCGGAAGGACAAGCGTGCGCAGCAGCGGACACGCCGTGCCAGATAGTTCAGCTGAGTCACTGGGCCACACCCCACTGGCTATAGAAGCAAGGGGTGTGGCGTGTGAATTTTCGTGACGGACAATTTTTGCTGGATATTCTGTTGCAAGCACTCTGGCAAGTTATCTTGGATTATCTCTGTTTGCTGTGTATTATCAGTAAAGGCTTGGCAGGCAGCTACGAAGTTGCTGCCAAGAAATTCATTTGTCTTTGTCTGTGCCGAGCAGTTTTTCAGGCCTCGGCTGACTGGTTGGGGTGTGTGGGTCGGACGGGGGACAGAACAACTAAGTAGAAGTCACTCCTATTTCAAGAATCCACTTCTTGAAGCCCTGGTTTTCAACAATTGCTCCCTTGGCCAGCCCCTGAGATAGGTTGTATCAGGAAACAGGCAGGGTGGATGAGATTCAGTTGCTCCTCTTAGAAACTTCAGTGTCTTTCTATTTCCCTGCATTATGGTATCCTTCTCAAACAGGCTGCCTGGGCTAAGTACTGGAAGTATCCCTTAGTACTCAGTCTGTTCCTATTGAATGGCTAATTCCAGAACACGGTGCTGTTGGCTTATTGCTTTGTCTCTCTCCAGTGTCAGCATGAAACTATTAAGAGATGATTTGTTGCATTTTTTTTAAATGGGCTGGCAGTAGGGATGAAAAAACTGCTGATATTCAAATCCATATAGTATTTGGCAAGATGGCAAGCAAAGCGATACAGTATGTGATGTTGAGTTGGTATAATAAGGATATTACCCTATTAGGTATATGGAGGTTTTTCTTATGATTGCATTATTTTTCTCAATATTTTAATGTTGTTTTTGGCAAAAGCTATAGGAAAATACAAAAGTTTAATGATGATTATAGGAAGATGTCCAACCATTAATGTATTTAACCTTACAAATACAACAGGGTTTGAAATAGCCTAAGACAGTGGGTAAGTGATAAGACTTTTGGTGATTTCATCTTCCTCTTTTTTATAGCTGATGGTAATGTTGCTCTTTTAGCATATATTATAAAAATCAATCAAACAGTTGAAGTAATGTACTAATTCAAAATAATTTCTGAAAGTATAGTAGCAAGTAGCTGAATCAATCAGATGCCACTTCTTTGAGCTCATATCCACTAAGGCCACTAGATTGAAAGGAGGTAACTCCTTCCAGTAAGCTTGCAGGCTACTTGTCAACATAAATATCATCTGAATTCAGCTTCCTGCCTACACTTCAATAAATTCCTTTTAAATAAGAATCTGAGGTTGAAATCTTGACCATCTGGGGTCCAGCATCATGCTATTGCTCCCAATTTATAGGGATTGTTTGAAGGTTCTTCAGATTAATAATAACCTGTAATGCAGGTTATTAATGTTTAAATCAGTTTTCTTGATACTAACAAGTAACAGTAGTGTAGCTTTTATACTTTCAGCAAATCCTGACTTTGCCTGGGTTAAAAGATAACAGTTGGACTTTGGCTAGTACTCTGATGAATGACCAGTCAGGGCTTCATATCAGATTATCACAATTAAACTCTTTCCAAGCTGGCCCAAGAAATTTAGCATAATAGAATTATTGCAGAAAAGTAGGAAGCCAATGCATACAGATCTCTCTCTAATAGCAATTCAGAATACTTCCTTCTATAAAAGTTAAAGTTTCAATCCTGCTCTCTTCTTTCCACTTTTGTGAGTCAACAGTCATTTCCTTTCCTTTGAGGGTTTCTACTATATATCCTTTACAAAAATGGTTTGATTTGGTGGGAGAATTAGAGATTCCTGCCTAACTTCAACCTTTATTCAAAGAATTCCAGAGATATAGGGTAGACTGGGAAGTAAAAAGCCTTCCTAGCAAAGAGGAGGAAGAATGGCATTGAATACACTTCATGAGTAGCTCCTCTTTAATAAACTCAGTTCAAAAAAAGGCAAATTTCCATAAAGCCACCTCCCAGCAACCAATACATCATGAATATCTGTTGGATCGAGGGCAGTTTTATATAATCAAACCTTCCTAGAGAAGCAGACAAACCAGATTTCTCTCTCTTGCGTCAGAGACTGAAACTATACACAGTTGAAATAAAGTTCAGAGTTTTTTAAATAACTGCTATAACCTCTGTAGAAACTCTTAAGACTCTGAATATCTAACATGGAATTCATTTAAAATGCCTCTTTTGCTTTCATATCTTTAACTTGGAAAAAAACCCCAATATACTATACCACTAGTTCAGTTTGTGAAACAAGTAAGATCTCTTCCACTTTATCTCGCCTTTCTAATTGTCCAATAACCTGAATGGAGAAAAACTCCACTCATGGATTAGACAGTGACCGATCCTGAATCATCACCTTCCCACTTATAATGCAGTCTTTTCTGCACTTCTAGGAATAAATATACCATTGTATGCTCAGTCAATCAAATGCCTAGCTAGACTCCCACAAATAACCTACTGTAGCTTCGTAGTGGAAATTCCATAGCTCTATTGGATTCCTTTTTTCCACTTTCAGGGATACCTTTAGTTTATGACCCCCATTTTTTGGTCTTCATGAAGATATGTTTGACTGGCTTTATAGACCTGCTTTTACAGACTGGATACTATATCTGGGAAGAGAATCTTTTTTATTACTGATGGTATTTCAGGTATCTCTAATATTTCCCAAGACCTGCAACAAACCATGATGTAATAAATCCATTTTTTGCACCACTGAAAGTCTCCTTGGCTAGCAGGCTCCTACAAATCTTTGTCATTGCTTTCTGGAATATTGCCATTTGAAAAATGTTTATGGCGATTCTCACAGTTGCCTTTAAAAAAGCACCCTTGGGACATGCCAGTTGGAAAACCAGGAAAAGGAATTTTGCATTTCTGTGCTGTATTATCCAATTTGATATCCTTCTGTTTCAGTAAACATGGTGAGTCAATGACTTACATATTGAGAGCTATACATCCCTGATACTTTCAGCGGTACCCAGAATGGGTCAAGGAAGACACTGTGCAGGATTAAGTATTCAGGTCTCAGCCTTAACATCAGGATTATTAGACTCAATAAGGTTGTGTGCCTTGCTTCCATCTCAACTTTCCCAATCAGAATTTGCTGCTGATAACTGTTTATATTCCTCCCACTATCTCTTATCCTCATATTCCAGAAATCTGGTCAATAGCAGAAGTCTATAGCATCAGGCTACAAACAAGGAGACCATGAGTTCTAATGTGGCCTTAGGCACAAAGCCAGCTGGATGACCTTGGGCTAGTCACCTTTTCTCAGCTCTTGGAAGGAGGCAGTGTTAAGCCACCTCTAAAAAAAACTTCAGGGACTTGTCCAGGCAGTGTCTGAGAATTGGACCAACTCCATTGTGTGCTCCTTTGGATTCCCCATGCAAGGCCCCTTTTTGGAAGACCTAAAGAATGGGCCGCCTCACCTCCAGGGAAAGAATATTCCATAGGGCAGGGGCAATGGCAGAGAAGGCTCTTTTCCTAGACCCTGCCAGCCCAGAGTTCTTTAATTGATGGGGTCTGCAACATACCTTCCCTGCCTGACTGGGTGAGCTGGGCCAATGTAATGGAGTGAAGCTGCTTCCATAGGTAGCCTGGCCCCATGCCATGTAGGGCTTTATAAGTCATAATCAGCAGCTTAAATTAGACCCAGAAGCCAACTGGTGCAGTTCATGGAGCAGAGATGTTACACGTGCCCTTCTTTTGGGACCCAAAACAGTTCAATATGCTGCACTTTGCACTACTTGAAGCTTCCAGATGCTTTTCAATATATACCTAGCTATTCAATATAGGAGTAGTTTCTGGAGTGAGAAAGTTCTATTGCCACAGCTGTATAAATCTGTCACATTGTTGTATTCATGAAGTAATCCGTAATTGAATTTGACTCAAAATCTAAAGATAAAAATAAATCTTATCCATACTGTTGTTAATATTTCCCATACCTTCCACGAAGAACAATAGAAATTTGGGTTGTTTTTCATTTTCTTCTACTTCAGGAATTTTCTTCATATTGAATGAATTGCACTCAACTACCTTCTAACTCATAACACCCAGAAATTGTTCATAGGATCAATCATCAACCAGCAGTCAATATCTTATAATATCTGTCTATACAGGTATATCATCTTGACTTGTATTACTGCCGATAAAATTATTTTAAGGAGTGTGCTTATTCATTGCTTGAACCAAGAAAGATAATTTACTGCAGAGCTTTATCTATTTAATGGTTTGCCAATGTATGACTCAGTACACTAACTGCAGTGTATAGTACAATATGGTTTTAACTGAAACAGGATATTAAAAACTTGGCTTATCTCTTCTAATAACAGAGTTTAACTACTGTACATTGACAGAGGGATAGCAAATAATCTACTCAAATTAAAATAACAGAATTATTTATTGTAAAACAATTAACAAATTATTCCTCTGTTGTTGCAAGCCCAGTTATACAAATCCATTTTGGATGGTGGAGTCCTGGGTGCTCTTTGAGTTTGATTGTTTGCTTGCAGGCATTTCATTAGCCAACTGCGAAAAATCATTGGGATGAGACAGTTTATACTACTTTTATATACAGTAATTTGCCCTGCCAGTATATACAGTGTTTTCTCCTTGATAGTTCTTTGATTAGGGTATTTTTTTCTGCTTAATTGCCTGCTTATCTGGTGTTGGCTGCTGGAGAGGATGCATTCTGGTCTTTTCATTTCCTTCTCAGATTTTTTATAGTCTCTTTTGGATGGATGGAATGAATGGAATCTGTTTGAATGTAATTAGATTCAACATGTATTTTTATAGCCAAACACACTGAGCCACCTATAAATTAGATGAACAACTGCTCAAAGAGGAACTTGACTTTGAGATAACACTGTACAGAAACACTTTGAATAGCCTTCAAAACCACAATACTAACTTCCTGTCTGAAAACCAAGGGTTGGGTTTACCACTGATCTCTCACAATATAAAGCAGCAGCAGTTCAGTTTAAGTGATTTAGCATTGGCTTGAAATACTGTACTGAAATTCCTCTGATAAAAATGTTTTCATCAGAATTAAACTGCTGCTAACTACATTGACTGATTTAACCTTAAGAAGTCTGGAAACAAACAGTTTATCAAATTTCCAAGTGACTGGGTTCACAATTTCTTTACAGTCCTCAATGCAGCCTATCACGAATCTAGTTGGTTCAATTACAGCTGAAGAAGATCTAGTCCTAGACTGTTGTTGTATGGGATATCTTAGGGCTTGACTCTGTCCCTGAATAGGGACTGCTGTGAGTTGAGTGGACTGGTAATTTGAAATCTCATTAGCAGAATCATTTTTTCAAAATTCCCTCAATAAAATATGCTTATGAACGATTGCCTGGCCAGACTAAATATCCTGACATGCCCTTCTTTGTAAAGCTGAGACCTCCTACAAAGGCTTTTTCCCTTCAGAGCAGCCTCAGGTTTTTAGAGTTTGCCATGGCCCAGCAATAAATACCTAAAAAGTCAATATTTCAAAGCTAGCAGCAGAAAAGGCAAAGATAAGGCTTGGATAAATAATCTATTTTGTAGATGCAAGAAGCTCTTGAATTTTGGAAGGATATCTTCTGTATAGTCTTCTTGACACTTCTGTAATAGTAAACTGCCTGACAAGACTGTCAATAAGATCTCATAAGATAAAATAAGATAACTTTTATTGTCATTTTTTTTCCTGTGGGCACAACGGCACACATCAAAAATAAAATTTAGTTGCCCCTTCTCAAAGTGAAACATACATGACACACACCTAAACATACATGACACACAACATATGTATAGACCCACAGCCCCTACATATACATAACAAATAAATATTAAATGTTTGACTTGAATCATTTTTACATTTCCCAGTTACTTTATCAATTGTACTTTTTATACTAACAAAGATAAATGTTACAATTTACCATTAGCAGATGTTAAACTTTTGGGACCTGATTCACCTCCAATACAGATGTGTTGGCAATACACTTTGTGTCTGACCCAGTATGATTGTGGTGTGTAAGGACATTGAGAAGATGTTTATAATATCCTCTCTTTTTTTTCCAGGTGACAGGGTGAGAACTGAATGCCTGCAGACTCACTAGCTTCCAACGCATTCTTTCCAAAGTGTCAGGTGTCATGAGGTGTTCCCTGAAACGATCACTTTTAACAGCCTTTTCTCTGTTTGTGTTGCTACTCATCGTGAATCTGGCTTCTTGGCACCATGAAGAGGTTGTGATGGTAAGTGTAACATAACACATTTGCTGAGAGAGAGGGAAGAGGGAGAGAGAGAGAAGAGAAGTGAAGAGAGATATCACGTGAAGTGTTAATACCACTTTATAATGCCTTAGTAAGACCACATTTGGAATACTGCCTCCAATTTTGGTTGCCTGAGGTGCTAGAAAGAGTAAAGAAAACGAGCAACAAAGATGATTAGGGGACTGGAGGCTAAAGCATATGACGAACGGCTGCTGGAATTGGGTATGTCTAGTTTAACGAAGAGAAGGACGAGGGGTGACATGATAGCAGTGTTCCAATATCTCAGGGGTTGCCACAAAGAAGAGGGAGTCAAGCTATTCTCCAAAGCACCTGAAGGAAGGACAAGAAGCAGCGGATGGAAACTAATCAAGGAGAGAAGCAACCCAGAGCTAAGGAGAAATTTCCTGACATTTAGAACAATCAGTGGAATATCTTTCCCCCAGAAATTGTGAATGCTCCAACACTGGAAAAAGTTTAAGAAGAAATTGGACATTCATTTGTCTGAAGTGATGTAGGGTTTCCTGCCCAAGCAGGAGGTTGGACTAGAAAGGACCTCCAACGTCCTTTCCATTTCTGTTATTCTGAGTTTCTCTTTCTTAAAAAAAAGTTTTATTAAATGTTGGAAGCTCAGAGAGGCTTTTTGTGTCTTAGTTTGGGTTGGCCATATTTAGTTTGTAAATCCAAATGCATGGGCGGATTTTCTTATCAGAAAAATAATTATATTGCAGCACTGCAATGAGAGACAATGACAAGTTCCTGCTTTACTGAAATCATTTCATAGCCATAGAAAGTACTGCACTGATTGGGTGAACATTTACTATTATTGCCTGTTTCTGCACAGAACAATGTTCAGCAGTGGGCTCAAAGAGTGGGTCTGCACCATACTATGTCTCACTGGACCGTTTATAGCCTCCGAATGTTTATCAATACCACCAACACGTTGAATATCTCTTATGACTACCTTGCTGGTTTGCCTCCACTCCGAAAAAGTAAGTACCAGAAAAAAGCAGATCAAATACAGGTAATTCTTGAGTTATGACCACAAGTGGGACCAGAATTTCTATTGTAAATTAGTGCAGTCATAAAAGGAGTCATCACATGACCAGGCCCAATTTTACAATCATTTTTACCACAGGCATTAAGTGAATCACCATGGATATTAAGCTTATCATGCAGTTGTTAAACGAAATTTGCTTCTCCAATTGACTTTCCTTACAGGAAGCCAGCTGGAAAGTTTGCAAATAGCAATCATGTCATTGCAACCATAGTAAGTGCAAGCTGGTTACCAAGTGCCTGAATTGCGACAAAGTGACCATAGAGGTGGTGCAACAGTTGTAACTTCGAGGACTAGCTCCAAAGATAAGTGGAATTCATTTTAGGACATCCAAACAGGCAAGCTTTTGTGATGGCTAAGATTTTTGAAGCAAAAATAAAGCACTGTTCCTATCTTTAATCAAAAAGTACTCCAAGAGAAGAATAATCTTCATGCCAATTTATTTCGATAGATAGGACAACTATGCAGCTTTTCTGCTCAGTGGTAGCCTCATGCTGACACCCAGTGGGCAATAGAGCTAGTAGAGCGGAGTGTGTAATGGTAGATCTTTCTTCCTCATTTCTGTTTCCAAGTGGAAACAGGCTGTTGCTATTGCTCAGACTCTCTTCTTAAGAAGATGCAGTTGGCTGGTGCATCTCATTTCCAGCTCAGTGGCTCATTTAGTATTTTGTCTCCCCTCTCTTTTAGCAATCAGAATTTTGGTTATATCTCACAATAGTTAAGGAGAGGAAAGGGTGCAAGCAGAGGAACAGGCATGTACTAAAAGTTTTATCTATCCTTTTTTGGTATGAGTGGTGCCTTTGAGTCAGTGTTGACTCCTGAAGTCTGCTTGGACAAGTCCCTGCAGTTTTCTTGGCAACATTTTTGGAAATGTTTGCCATTGCCTCCTTCATAGGGCTGAGAGAAATTAAGTAGCCCAAAAGTAACCCAGCTGGCTTTGTGCCTAAGGCAAGATTAGAACCCACAGTCTCTGGTCTCTAGCCTAGTGCCTTGACCACTACACCAAACTGGCTTTTATGTCTTTCCTACTGCCTATGAAATATAAAAGGAAGAGGATACAGAGTCTGATTTAAGAAGGATAAAGCAGCACTTCTGGGTTGTGTGTCTATGTTGTGGGCACCTGGCCAAATATGCCTTTATGGAACCATTGCCACCTGCACTGCTGATGGAAACGAGAAGTATGCAGCTATTGGTCTCTAGTCAGCTTCATCCTCCCCCATGTTTGTGCTCCTTCTTTATTGTACTTTTATTGTGGAGGACCATTTTTTCCTTCTCTCTTTGTTTCTGATTTGACTTTACCAGCAAACCAATAGCTGCATATTGTAAACTCAGTGAAATTTTTCAAGGCATCTTAAGGAAATGCATTGATGTTCCAGGTAGCTCTAGTTTTTTCCTGGAATATTTAAAGGAGACAAAAGCAAAATATGTCCTAACATGTTTGAAATTAACAGATTTATTATATTGCAGGATTCTTGTTTCTGTTAAGTGGCCCAGGCTTTCCAATCAGGTTCCACGTATACCATGGATAACAGGAATTCAATTTTCATAATCCTATAACAAGCATGACTTGTTGGAAAGGCTGACTTAGAGAATCAAATTCATTTAGCAATGCATGAAAGTGATACACAGTAAGAACATAATAAAACCTCTGCTGCATAAGATAACTTTTTTTGAAAACATACATAAAGGCAATCATTACCTCTACATCTGGACATGGAATTGGTCTAAATATTTTAAAATTACTAGAACTAGAGTTGTTGCCTCTCTTGAAATAATTTCCACCAGTGCAAAATTACTTTCCTTGTTTGTTCTAAAACTAGTGACAGTCATTTTTAATTAATGCCCTGGGTTTCTTGTTGATTGATGCATATACCAGCTACATTAAGACTGCAAATATACAGAATAAATAGGTACATGACTTGCAAGGTTCAAACTTACAAGGTGTATACACTTTTTCTTTTTACTGCAGAGTTTCTGACTTTAGGACTCTGTTCTGTCAAGCGGATGAGAGCGGACTATCTCCTGGATACCCTGACATCCATCTTTGATCAATCTTCTCAAGAAGAGCTGGAGGAAATGGTGGTAGTGGTACATTTAACAGATCTAGAATATAAATGGAATTCTCAAATGGCGTTGGAAATTGCCAGAAATTTTCCTCATCAGCTCCATCAGAGAAACCTAGTAGTTATCCACACACCTCTTGAGTATTACCCTCCCTTGGAAGGCCTAAAAAGGAATTTTAATGATCCTGAAGATCGGGTCCGCTTTCGATCAAAACAGAATGTTGATTATGCTTACCTCATGAACTTTGCATCCAACCTCTCCACCTACTACCTCATGATTGAGGATGATGTCCGTTGCACCAAACACTTCCTCACAGTAATCAGAAGAATTCTGGCATCCGAGGAGGACACCTCTTGGGTCACTCTGGAATTTTCCAAACTTGGTTACATTGCCAAGCTCTACCATTCTAGTGACATCCCCCAGCTTGCTCGATTCCTCATGCTCTTTTACCAAGAGATGCCTTGTGATTGGCTTTTTGTGCATTTCCGTCTCCTGCTTACACAAAAGGAGGAAATTCGTGTCAGGCAATCCCTTTTCCAGCACGTTGGTCATTATTCCTCCTTCCGTGGTACACCAAACAAACTGAAAGATGAAGACTTCGAAGAGGATTTTTCTAAATTCCCTGACAATCCCCCAGCAGATATAGTAACCAATATTGAAACATTTCTGGGTCATATACCCCATAAGGCTTACAGTAGAGTGATAGGCTACTTTTGGGGTAAGGCCCCTTCTTCTGGCAATTCCTTCACACTTATCTTTAAACAGGCTGCCCCCATCTTCCGCATCCAGATCCATACAGGCTCTGAAGAATACCCAGATAGCTATCTCCATAATGGGGTTGTAGCATTGGGCACTCATAAATTGCATACATCAAGATCACATTGTGCTAACTATGTCACCATTGGGCACTTTGACAAAGGAAATTTTGACAAGCAGAACCTAGAGAATAGTACCACCTCTGACCCTGACTGTGTGCACATTTTGGTAACTAACACTCAGACTGAGTCGTTGATCATAAAGAACATAAGCATCTGGATAAAGCCTAAATCCTGACTCCATTTGAATGAGCAGGATCTCTCACAGTGTAAGAACATTGCTTGCAGACAAGATCCTTTCTGGATACAAGAATACAGGATGCGGTGGAAGAAGTTAATTCTGTGTTTTCAGTCCTAATGATGATATGTTTGTGATCTATTATCTTACAGCATAAGAGCCCACCAACAATGTTTTTCAAAAGAGAGCTACAACTTGCATTGTCTTCTGCTTGTCAGAGACTCTCCTTTTCCAATTGAGTGTTTCCAGGGTTATTTTGCATCAATCTTTTTTTCATTCTCCCCGCAACAATGTAGCTCTATATGAAAATACAGTAAGATAGGACAGGGGTCCCCAACCCCCAGGCTGCAGACTGGTACAGGTCCATGGCCTGTTAGAAACCAGACCGCATAGCTGGAGGTGAGCAACGGGCGAGCGAAACTGCACATGCATGTGTGAGATCTAGGTTGTGTTCTGCATCGCCACCCCACCCTGGTTCTTGAAAAAATTGTCTTCCACAAAACTGGCCCCTGGTACCAAAAAGGCTGAGAAGCACTGAGATAGGATGCTGAAATAAGCTCAGCTGATAATATTAGGAACCAACTGTGTTTCAAGAACAACTTCCTGTGTTTCTGTTATTCAAGCTTAGTATCTTTAAATGGTAGTTTGGAAAGATGGAGGCTAAAAGTTCCTTGAAGCATAATGTATAACTTTAGATCTGTTAACTTCTAAATCAAACTCAAGGATGTGCTCTTTGGCTTCAGAGATAGCTTGTTCTAGCTCCATCACTGTTAGTACTTGAATTGAGAAGCCACATAAAGAAAAAATGATTGTGTTTGTGTTGGGGGGTTTTCAATAAGGTTTTAAATATATCTATAAGAGTAAGTAGGGCCAATGAGTCACTTCTACAGTTTTGCAAATGATAAGTCAATAAGTGATTCAGGTGAGTAACTAACGTTCACAGTTAGATGAAGTAATTTTTACAGAAGTGCAATCTTTTTTCTAAAACCAGCACTTTAGCACTGCTGAATAAATATTTTTAGATATTTTTTTAACAAAATTTGTCCAGAAACACATTTAATGAATTTTTCTAATTTAAAATTATGATTGCATAATATGTTTTACATAAAATGCTGATTGATGAATGTAATTTAAACAGCTGTCACCATATACAAAAATAACTAGGGTTTACTGTTAATTTTATACTTGTTGCATACAGCTTTTTTTCTTTTTTTTTCTTTTCCTTTTTCTGTATCTTGTTTGTAATTCTTGCTTTTCTTTGTTGTTTTTCATTATTCTGTAATTGGTATTTTATTTTTGGAAAAATAAAAAAAATATTTAAAAAGAACTGTAAAAGACGTTTCAGATTAGCATAAACTGTGACGTTGTCATCTGGAATGCAAATTTATTCTATGGCTCAAGTTCAAAGTGAAGCAGCAGTGTAGATCTTTACAGCTGAGTCAACTGATGACCAACCTTAAATTCTAGCTATTCTATTGAGCACTTTCAGCTCTCCATTTTATTCAGCTTTTCTAATTTTCTTTAAAACAAACACAAACACATTTAACAACAGTTTTGATCTCTTCATAAGAATTGCAAAATCCTTGTGGATAGATGAATCCATATTTTTAAAAACTATTGAAGATTTACAGGAAATCATTATACACTAAATTGATTGTCATTTTGACATATATTCTGAATTTTAATTCCGGATATCTTTTTTATTATGTGATCTGTTCATGTTTGAATCAAAATACAACAAAATATTTATACAGATTATGTTACATGATAACCTAATGTAACATGGTACATGTTAGCTTTTTAAAGTGTAATCTATTATAAAATATAACTAATCCAACTAATATGAATAACTATGGAAACACTTTTGGTTAAGTTATACTATATATTCTGATTTTTTATTTTTTTGCCAAGTTAATATAAATTAAAACTTTCTAATCTACTGGAACAAGGTGACATTCACCTTGTCAGAATCTCGGAAGCATGTTTTTTTCTTCTTGCTTTTGCATAACTGGAAAATTCTTAGCGTGGCCATTGACTTCCCATGTAGGCAATTAACATGAAGATAGATGTGTCCTAAAATAAAATTAAGGTTACAACAATGTAAACTATGCTGCTTGTATTAACATTTGCAATGCAGCTTTTGCAGAGTACTGAAAATTAGGATTTCTAATGGAGAAGAACTCCCTGGAAGTAGTTACATGATATATTAACTCATAGTTTGGATTGTACATTTATAGTGATCATATATCCCCTTTTGCATAAGTAATATGCAGAGTGAAGGAGAAGAATAAGAAATAATATTTCAAAGAAATTAGATTAAAAAAAAAGTAATAGGGTATATTTGAATCTGAATTACAGAACATATCTAAAGCTGAAGAGTTTGGACAAGAAAGTAGGCCTGTACAATGCTTTTAAGACTGAACTCGATCCCAAACAATTGCTTCAGAGCTCAAAGGACTTCTTGTCATCAAGTTACTAAAGCAGCCATATCGTTTCCCAGGCTCATATGGCTATTTCTGGGAGGCTTTTGCAGCAGCAAACCCTGGAACCAGATGTGACCACTTTTATGAATTGCCAAGAGATGTTGCACCTGCATTGTCACTCAGCTTTTCAGCATCAAATCTGGATGCACAAATGCAACTGAAAACCATTCATGAAATGGGTGGAAGTTGAAAGTTCAAAATTGTACTTTTTTCATATTTGAGTTTGTCAGTAAAAAATAAAACCTCTCTATGCAGTATTCTGATCAGAATTTATTTAACTACTATCACATCTGCATTATTAATCTTCAATCTGGTAATAAAATACTGCTGCAAAATATGATCTCTACTCTTCTTCCTGACAAAGTGCATAATAATATCCCTTGGTACATTTCTTAACTTTGCAAACTGCATGTTGATTCCATATGCTTTATCAAGTTTCCTCTTCACATCATCATCATCATCCCATCCCAAAAACAGTTGGTTGAAGATTGAACAATCTTTTCTCTGGTGTCTTCTCCAGAATCTTCTAGAACTGCTGTAAATCTCAAGCAATTTTTTTCAGTCCCAGTAATGCCACATTGTTAAAAACCTTTCCCGTCTTTCTATTTATTACTTCTATTTTACTTTCTAAAATTTCCACTTTGTCATTAATTTAACTTCTCCTGTAAATTTATTTTATTATTTTATTTATATATATCCCATCTGTATTATTTGGACAAGTAACTCAAGGCACACACATTCCTCCTGTTTTCCTCACAATAACAACCGTGTGAGGTGAGTTGGGCTGAGAGACATTGACTAACCCAAGATCACACTGTCGGCTTTCATGGCTAAGGAAGTACTTGAACTCATGGTCTCCTGCTTTCTAGTTTTGTGCCTTAACCACTAGACCAAACTGGCTCTCTTGTCATATAGTTTCTTTAATTTGATTTGTAAGGTTTTTTCATCTTTACTGATTTTTATTCCATTCTCACTTTAAAAGCAACCAGCTCACTTTTAATAGATTTGACAGATTCAGATTCCGCCCCCATTTCTTCAGACATCTTTTGTAATATTTCCAGGTTATATATATGCTGTTTGTTGCTTTCTGCCTCACCTTGCAGATTTTCTGATGGTTGCCATTCTTTTATTTATAATTCAAAAGTAAAAGTAAGTCAATTAAAAGGATGAAAATGAAAGTTTCTCCTTCCCCCATCTTTTATCTTTTTGTCTTGTTACTTTCAAAGACCATTTTTCAACTGTAAATTGACTGTATCTGAAAGTAATTAAGAAAGGTCAAACTCAATGTCCTTTAAAAGGCTGCATCTGCATATGTGAGCACACTGTTTCTTCCTCAACCCCATTCCACCTATTCATGAGAAAACCACAGGACTTCCATCCCAAGACTCAGCACAAGGTAGAGAGGTCCAGAGTGCAGGTGGGCAATCACTTAATCTCTCCTTTATCCAGAAAAGCTTTGTTGGCCAGAAATTGTTGGCTTTCATTCCCTATTTTCAGCTCCATCTCCACTCCTTCAGAGACATCTAATCTGCCATAGAACCTCACTTGGAAGCCCAACAACCTCCATGAGGATCTTGAACTGATGAGTGTATATAACAGAGATGCATGACCATCACTGTCCATGCTGCTAAATTTGGACCAGCTGAAGCTTCAAATATTCTTCAAGGGCAGATCCATGTAAATACATTGCAGTAGTTGAGCCATGAGTTAATTAGGGCATGAATGACTGTACATATTGTTTTACAGTCTTTTAATAATAGTACTATGGTGTGTATTTTGCTTTCTATTTTTAAAGGATATACCTGAGTTTCCCCTTGTGTAAACTTATTTATTTATTTATCATGTTTGAATACTGGTATAATCAAGGAATAACTCCAGGGAAATCCAAGGTTCAAAAAAATCAAGCTAGTGGCCATGACACAAATTTAAAAAAGGTACGGCTTTGATCACACAGTTGCAATTGCCATCTTTACTTTTTTTAAACCTACCTATAGACCTCCATCCTCTCACCCTTAAACAGCTTCCCATGTTAAATTGACAAAGTTGCTGTTTGCTCATTTTTTGTTGTATGAGGTAAGGAATGGGATAATCTGTATATCTAACACTCATACCATTCCACGCACTGTGGGCAAATAGATTGTCAGAACTGGGGTAACATTCAAGTACCAAGAGTATCCTTTCTTTCACCAACCAGCTGTACAGGTAGTAGTTTTCTGAATTCTTGTCACCATTTTTTCATTTTTGCACCTAGCATCTGTTAAATGCCCACTGAAATGCCTGCAAACATAGCAATGCAGATAAAATGTTTACAGTGATGAACTAAAATGAGAAATATTAAAATACCAATCAAGGCATTTAAAGCAGGGCTGAAATACTTCATAAGTATTTCAGCCCTGCTTTAAATGCCTTGATTTGGTATTTTAATATTTCTCATTTTAGTTCATTACTGAACTAGTTCATCAACTTATTATGAGTCTCCCTCATAAAATTTATTCCAATGGGCCAACATGTATTAGAAAAGGGGGCTTTTGAAAGCAAGAGGCATTTCTCTTCTCATAGGCAGTTCTCTTCTCATACTGGCAAAGAAGCACTGAGGTAAAAAAAAAAAATAGGGGCAGGACCTGAGTAGATGACACTGGTGTTCCAGCTAGGACCCGCACAGAAATACTAGGGCTGCAGGTCCCTTGTACCCATGATTCCCCAGCTGAACCCTTCAAGTTATGGAGTATGTGAAAGATATTGCTTTTATCCTTTTTTTTAACTGAAACATGAGATACCAATAAAAATTTCCCAATATTGTATGTTTACTTTTCTCCTGAATTAGCAAGGTAGATCAATCATTTAATTTACGATGCAGGTACCATGCAGTTGCCATAACAAATATCTGAAACAAATATCAAGATGGATATATTAGTTCAACCTCCAACTGTCTCAGGTTTTTGTTTAACTAGAACATAACATCAATTTAAGAAGCAAATTTCTTCTTTCCAGAAGGAAATTTTGCCTGATGTAATAAAAAAGAAACAAGATATCAGAATATTTAGGAATAATCTAGCTCCCCTCCCCATTATTTTTTGTGTAGTCCCATTCTTTCTTTTGGATACTTGCAAATATTCCTCTGTTTTATGTTGCTTTATTACATCTTTATTCCCCTAAGAGATTTTGATATATCAAGGGAAGTAATTTTCTGTGGCCAGTAAATTTAATCAATAAATTTATACTCCATCTTTTACAGAGAATCTTCACAAGATGTATAAAGCAAATAAACAACCAATACAGTACATCAAATGTTGATCACCTGAAGCTATAATTTATGTTAACAATGGTTTGTACCAAGTCATGACTTTCTGGAAAGACTAACACATTAAATCAAATTAAGTGAACATTATTGAATCTAATAAAGGGGAGGGCCCAAAGAAAATATGAGCTTCCTTCACATATAGACTCATGCTTGCCTACCTCAGCAGCTAATACTCCTAAACAACAGCCCACAAAAGTCCATGTGTACCAATAAAAGAAATATGAAATTGTACGATAGCAGCCCTGCAATAAATAAAAGAATCATTATGCAAATTTCTCCATCAACTTTAACAAAAGTAACCCAAATACACAGCATGAATCTCTCTCAAGATGCTGACTTGTAGAAGGGCTTCCTATATTATATATCTGATTAGCAGAGAATGGTTTCTCATCCTCTCTGCATGCCTGATAATTCCTTTAAAACAAAAGTAGGACCCAACTTAAATACTATAGTTGGACGATCTGAGATTTGATACTGGTAGTTTCAAACTGAATTTAACTATGCTGAAAAGCAATTAAGTTGTAAAGCTGGTACACACAACTAAAATAAACCTTCAAAGATATTCCAGTGATATCATAAACCCCTTTTGGGGAGGTGGGGTTTTAAAGTTAATTTTGATTTAAATCCTGGCAATTACATGGAAAAGTCCATGAAGTCTTCTTGGCAACACATCAGAAGTGGTTTGTCATTGCCTTCTTCCTAGGGTTGAGAGAAAGTAATTGGCCCAAGATCACCCAGCTAGTTTCTGTGTTTAAGGTGGGATCTAGAACTTTGATTATGCCAGTCTTCATCCAGCTTCTTAACCATTAGACAGAATTGGCTCTCTTAATAATTGTTGTGTGTGTTAGCCTTTGAGTCAGTAGTGATGAATAAGATGTTAACTTTCTAAGAGATTCAACTTTCTCTGTTGGCAGACAAGCGTATGAGAATTTAAAAAATGCAAATGTTAATTACTTACATTATCAGAGTCCAAAGCAGGAGAGCAATTATATCAGTAACTGTTATCAGTAAATTACTCTGTATAACTCTTTGTCTAAGGATTACGATGATTAAATAGCATGCAGATGAGCAAACATCCTTACCAAATTATTGACATATCCGACTGTTCCTTCCTGACAGAACTTCACATCCAGAATCTCCTCAGGTGCGGGGGGCTTGGCTCGAGTACAACAAGCCTGTGGCCATAAGTCATCTGGCTGATTTTCTCTGAACCATTCAGCATTTTTAAAATCTCCAGGTCCTAAAATTCCACAACACCGAAACTAAAAAAGAACAAAAGTGTAGCAATAAAATTTTAATCCCCTAAAGTTATTTAATTAAGCTAATTTCTTAGGGATTCTTTTTGCTATCTGAATTTCTAAGGATTTTTGCAACCATTTCTCTTTATTGTTTCCTGGGATTATTTATTTTATTTTGCTAATATGTCTTTACAAGAATTCAAAAGTAGTGACATTAGGCTGTCAATAAATAGTATCATGTTCTGATAATTTCATAAAAATGTCCTGTAGTAATAGTAAATGGTCATAAAGTATTTAGAAAAGGTAATTTGCTTAAGTTTGCATTATTTACTAGTTTTTTTTTTCTTAGAATAGATACATCTTTGGAGATCCTTCTTTCTCTGTTCTTTCTGTATCAAGTTGATTCTTATAAGAAACAAGATGTAGAAGTAATTGTACTTAAGGATGCTAGTTTTATATTTGTGATTAGAATGATTAAGCTCATATTGTGATGAAGACTAGTGACTGAAGCTTTTCCCTAGGAATGCTTATTAAGAACAAGTTATAACTCCCATTTTAAGCATCGTGTGCATCGTCTAACAATTAATATTGTAATTTTATTGGCTATCACGCTGTTTAAGAAACAAATCAAAGTCCTAAATGGTTTATAGCTAAAGTAAGTGAAGGATCACTTGCTCCCATTTAAAATCTGTACAACTATTCAAAATTTAATCAAAAT